GTAACAGATTTTCTGGGTACAAAATCACACTTCTCTTTTGCTATAGGAGCGCAAAAGAAACGCAAAAAGCAGAGCATTCATATGCACTAACTTTTAACCCTATAGCACCAATACTCCCCGAGATATTCAAGTGTAAAGCCCCAAAATAGCCAAATTCAAAGGTCGGAATTGGGCCTTGGGGGCCTAAAAAGGTTTTGTGCCTTTGCAATTTATGCCGCAGTAAGCCAATCTACAGGGGTCAGACCAAGCTCATCTGATAGCCCTATTCCATGCACATCTTTTGAAGTGGGCTTGTGGGAGAATGAGTGTTGTGTAGCGTAGAGCCTGAAAACTGAAAATCAGACTTTGTCACTACCCTCTGTAGGTGCATTACAGGGTCCTGTGGTTTGGCATCTGAATGGTGAGAACATGATGAATACAAAGTTTTCTCCCAAGAGGGATTTTGGTGGGGTTTTGACTTCTCAGGCTGACAGCTCTATCCTCCCGTGAGCTGAGGGGTTGAGAAGTCCACAACTTCTTAGGCACTGTCCTTGACCCAAAGGTTTGGTTTTAGATATGGTAGATAACCACATCCCAGATTATCTGGCCTCTGGGACCCACCCCAGTCCACACAGTTAGTCTACTGCTCCATGTTGGTTAATGGTCAGTATTCTAAAGTGGTAGGACAAGCTTAAGAAATGTGGTAGCTTCTTGAATCAAAAACCACAAACTGCTAACTTGTCAACCAGAGAGGTTTTGCAGAGCAAAACCTTCAAGGTTAACAAAGTAAGTAAGTACATAATTAAAACTTAATACATAAAAAAGAAATATTACAACTCTATCACTCGAGTTTCAAGAGTGTAAAAAGAATAAAACTCGAGTCACCAACTCTATAACCAAGGGTACAACTTAATTAACCCTTGGTAGAAGAAGGGTAGACAACGAGAGAGAAATTTTATCCTTAACCCAGGCCAGGGACTAAATAATGAAAGACCCTGACCAGGCCAAAAGACTACGAGAAAGGGTTTACATAGTTACTAAAACTACAAAACCCCAAACCAGGCCAACCTCAGGAGATAAGGGTTTCTTACATGACATCATACAATGTTAACCAAAGTTGGTATATAAAGAACCACGATTCTCACCAAATAAAGAGAACAATCCTTGTTCACTTTTACCCATCTTAGAAAAACCTCTTTACTTTTGAATTGATACTCGGTATTAGAAAATCCTTTTGCTATTGAATTTCTATTGCACGCTTCATTCTGCTCAAAAGCAACCATCTTTTTCTATCTTCTTTTTTTTACTAAAACTTCCAACTTAGAAAGCGTTAGAGATTGTTTGGCGTGGCCCATTCGACTAAAGACTTTCATCCGGAATCACCCCTTTTTGATTTAACAAATCAACGAGCACTGAAGTGCCACCTGAAGAATAGATAGTTACTTTTAACTATTTCTTTGGAAGACGCTCGAGAAGTTCAACATCTCGTCCAGTACCTGGCAGCGGTAATCATCCCGCACCACAGACATCTGTAGTCAACAACTATAGATTATCTTTAACTTACTAAGAATCGAAAACCACGTCTCTAAGATAAATATCAACAAATATTTTTAGAAACCTACATTTAGTAAGTCTCATTCAGACTAGTTTTACTACTCAAGTTATACTTAGTCTGACATAACTTAACTAAGTTCCTCTTGGATAAACAAGTAGTCAAGAGAGGGACTTAGACCTTATACCACCTCTTTGGCATATGAGCCAGAAAAGTTTGGCTGGAAATATTTATAATCCCCAATATCTTTGTAGCCTGTATACAAATATCTTCTGGACCAAAGAAAAGTCATCTGTGCCTGATCATCCTACACACACACACATCTTTTCAAATCCCCCCCTTGCCGCCAGGAAAGCCCTTAAAACCAGACTTGAAGAATCGGTTTTTGTGTAACATTTCAGTGTGTTTGGTGTGAGCTTTTGACAGGTTGTCGACTTTTGGCCTGATTTTTGTATTTTTTGCAAACTTCACACTTGCATTGCTCTGTGGGTTTTGAATCAAATTCAAAGCAGGCTACACATAGGTGTGTAGATTAAGCGGGCGCACAGCTCATTCATTTGGTCCCAAGGATATTTGTTTTCAGGATACAAAGATATGGAGTGTTGAAGAAGTCCCCAGCCAAAATTTTGCGGCTCATACGCCAAAGAGGTGGTATAAGGTATAAGTCCCTCTCTCAACTACTTGTTTGTCCAAGAGGGACTTAGTTAAGTTAGCTCAAACTGAGAGTTTTCATATGTAGAGTTTTACATATACATAGAATCCTGCGGATTGAGCACTTGACGTGCCCTTCAAGTAAAAATAGAAAATGGAGTACTTATTGCCTGCACATCATATTTTGATTTCAAAAACTTCCTGGAGTTCTTGAGGAAGGTGAGAGTGAGATATAGCAAATATGTATAGATAGATTGGAAGGGGATGTTCAAAAGGAGCTCCAGTTCAAATGGGCACAGGGGTTGATTGAGGCAAAATGTGAGTTTTTGAGTTTTTTAAAAACCTCTCAGCCAAACTTAATATTTGAACCCCCTGCTGACTCACCAGGCCCGGCCTAACTTAACTAAGTCCCTCCAGTCAGAAACTTTTTCCTTGCAAGCTTGGGTGTCTGGAGAAGGACAACATTATCTACCAGTCTTGGTGGGGCAGCATCAAACTTAACTAAGTCCTCTCTGACCTGTACTGGCCAGCTCAAAAGAGGGACTTGCGCCCAATGTCGAAAAGTTGGCATGAAGGTCATTGCGGCATTTTCCCAAAATCGACCTGCCTTACAAATTTTTTTTTTACCATTCTAACCTTTCCTGAGCCAAGAATGAAAAATGTGCGCCTTGCTCTTGGCTACAACCCAATGCTTTCAGAATCCTGATAGGTGGAATGGTTCTGCAAATAGCAAGGAAAGTTGGTGTTTCAAGTCTGCAACAAAATTCAAATTTCAGCCTCGGATCAGGCAAGATTACCTGATTTTTGGTTTCAAGCCGTGAAAAACTTATATAAATATGTACACAACCACTCACGCTATTGAGAAGCCAAGAGTACCAGGTTATAAAGAATTTCAAGAGGTACAATTTTTGTTTTGGCGTTAGGGAAATTTGAGAAGGTAAAAAAAAGTTTCATAAGGCAAGTAGATTTTGGGAAAATGCCTCAACAACCTTCATGCCAACTTTTCGACATTGGGTGCAAGTCCCTCTTTTGAGCTGGCCAGTACAGGTCAGAGAGGGACTTAGTTAAGTTTGGGGCAGCATGGGGTTCCAGATTCAAGTTTGTCTGGGAGGTTTTTTATAAACCACAAGAACTCCTTGTTCCTTTCAATCAATCACCTTGCCCATTGTCATCAGATCGTGTATTCAGCCTTCTCATATCTTGCTCCGAGATTTCTGGACAAAGGCATAAAGCTTTTCAAAGATGAAATTTGTTTGCAGGCAACGTCTGAATCTTTGAAACAAAATTTACAATTGACCCAATGAACACAACCCTTGTTCTCTTCTGGAAGGACTGAGACATGGCCATTGAACTTTGTTCAAAATACCAAGTTGTTCATTCCATTGATCTGAAGATTTTGCTCTCCTCAGAAATTGTGTAGCATCCAAACTACAAAAGACAAGTGTTGAATTTACCCGACCAGCCTTTTGGGCCCCTGCTTGCGCACCAAAAGGAGCTGATAAGTCGCAGATCCCTCTCCAGGGCACCGAGATTGCAAAGGTTAAAAGAGCCCTGGAGAATTTGGGACTTGGCATAAGTTAGAGGCCCGGCGGATAAGTCCCTCTCCAGACCCCCGAGCTCGCGAGGAAAAAGGGTCAGACTATGGAACTCAGTTAAACAGCGCGGTGGATTCTTTTGCTTGCTTGTGTTTTTGTCAAAGTGACCAAGCGGAGGAGATGGCACTGGCAGGCACACGCAAGTACGGCTGTCAACGCTTCATGAGGATAACAGTTGAAGGGAGTGTCCTCACCAACTTTGTCTTTGTCAGTTTTAATTTTGAACACAACTCTTTGTAAACTATTGAATCCAGTCCCAAGCAAACTACCTTGAATCTGACTTGAACTCGACCATACTAAATCAACTTGCTTGTTCTTGCGATAAATCTTGACAAATCAAGTCAAAATAAAGAACAACGCCAATCGGTCGACCCATCAAACCATCTCGTGAGTTTTAGCTTCAAAGAACGTAAAAAAACTTTGAAGTTGAAGTGGAGATTGACTTGTCTTTTGATTCGATGTATGAACAGATGATATGGATTTTGATCGCGACGACGAACCACAAAGTCAATCAAACCATCCTTGACTTCCCTCACAAGGCAAGTAAAATCACATTCCCTTTGAAAAACCCAAGCCCATAATCAAAATAATTGACAAAAATCGTGAACCGTAGTTTATGATCAACTCGATAACTCTGGAGTATTATTTCTTGGAAGGATTAGGGAACGAGTCAAACGTCAATGATACAAATTTCAACTGGGTCAACTTCAATTGGACCTTCAAACATTAAACCATTGACTCCTCAGACCACCATAAACCTGGTGCATCAATCGCAGACTTAAGTTCAAGTAATGGTAAACATCGCAGGAGAGTTCATTAATTTCCAAAGGTAATCCAAATGAAAATGAACACCAACGAAGAAATACGTCCATCCAAGTAATTCAGTCGATTCTAAATTAATAATGTAGTCTTGATTATTCATCTATTTCTTCACTATGTACCATTTGTTTTTCCTGAGCCTGCTAATCAGCAATTGGTTTTTTTCACTTCTTCCTGTCTAGTTTCAGTGACCTCATCATTTAGGTGAGCCGCTTCGCGCAACTACGAGCACTCTTTCCAGCACGTTTCTCGCTGTTTCCTTGATCTCCGATCGATATTTCCCATTACCTCGCGGATCAAAGCCCGCCCACGCAAAAACTGGACTTCAAATACTCTCGCTTGTATGTCCACCTATTTCCGGGATTTTGATTCTTTGTTCGTTTCTTTATCAACCAAGTTTCTTATGTACAAGTTGAAGTTTTCCGTTTTGTAGTCGCTCCTTCAGTAACGCGCTGATGCGCGGATCAAACCGGATTAAATCGGAGCGCTGGTAATGCGCGGATGTGACGTAAGAGTCTCGTCCTGAGTGGCAATCCTTTCCGGATGCATATATCCGGTATTTGCCATCGTCTGTAAGTTGAGTTCTGGGGATATAATGGCGTGCGTAGTTGACTTCACTTTGACTTCAGGCCTTCCAAATCGCTTCCTTGAAATAGATTCCTTAAAGTAGATATTTTCCATTGTCTTGCATTCAGAAATGAAGACTTTAATCCTAATCAACTGGCTATCCTTCGTAACCATCACACTGATAATCGAGAAAACAGGTATCTAAACAATCTCTTTGTGGTCATATATATCATATCACATCATCATCAAACTGATTCCCATTTGTTATTCTCGAATCAGAATCACATGGACCACCATTAACCGGACCAGAATTAGATCGATATCTATCATCGCAAAAATCTTTAGACCATTGTTTACCAATCATCTCAGAATACATTCAATATCGTCAATCAACTTGGTCAATCGATCAAATTCCTGAATCTCAACAAATCTCTTTTGATCCATTTGCTCTTTCAACTTCTTATCATCAACTACATCCTCCAAACATACGTAATCAAACATGTGTACTTTGTTGAGCCTCTTTTACTTTCTTTTTTCTATGGATTGGAAACTTATTTTTTGGGGGTTTGATCTTCTTAGCTCCTGTGGTGACTCCTGGTCCTTATCATCATTTTTCTCGTCATCCGATTCGACAAAATTTAGCAGAATGGCAAGAGGGATTACTATTTGTAAGATCAACTCCTATACCACCTCAGTTCTAAATTCTGGATCCCAAATCTAACCCAAGCTTTCAAATGACATGAATAGATGATCGATATAGGTGTAATAGACGTAGAAACCTGTGAACCAATCCCAAACGCATTGGTCGATATCTGGCACGCAAATGCTACAGGTTTTTATTCAGGTCATCCAGTTCGATCTCCAGAATTCATGGATGAATTACCACAAGTAGGAGGAAAACGTGCTGGGTTATTAACTGCTTATCCTTTAACTCGTGAAGATGAAACGTTTTTAAGAGCGGCTTGGCCTACCAACTCAAATGGAGTTTCCAGATTTACTTCGATCTTTCCTGGTTATTATACTGGTCGTGCTACTCGTTTGTCTTTTCTCCCTCTCTTCAACTTTTTGAAGAATTAAGCTTACAAGTTTTTTCTTTTCTTTTTGGTTTTGGTTCAGATGTACATGCTAAAGTTCATTTAAACTGGACCGAACATCAAAACACAACATCCACCACATTCTTCACATCCACTGAATCTCAATACATAGGACAATTCTTTTTTCCAGATGAAATCAATTTACAGATTGATAGAATGTCACCTTATAGATTCAATCCACTAAAAGATCGTACAAGAAATTGGAGAGATTCTGGATCTATCTTTGATGAATCTTTTCAAAATGGATTTGACCCGATATTTGAAATCAAAAAGTTTGGAAATATTTTGAATCAAGGTTTAGTTGGGTTTATGACCGTTGGTATTGATAGGAGAGCTACCGTTGGAGAAGCCAGAATTGGTTGAAATTTTTTCATTATCAACTTGCTTCGTGTTGTGGTATCCATATTTGTTTTTTATGATTGTTTTACATTGAGCTTGTAATTACTTTGTATATCTTTCTTGCTTCGTCTTGTTATTTATATATTGTAATGTACTAGTACATCATTATATTTCCGAAGCTTGAACATCTTTATTTCTTCACTATGTATCTACACGCATATATAAAACAAGATTTTTGATCTCAATAGGGGTACACAAACATGAAAACCCGACCTAAAAACCCATGGACAAAACCCATGACAGCCCGATTGTTTTTTGGGTTTTGTCCAACGGGAAAGCGGAAAACCCATGGACAAAACCCAAAAAACAATCAGGTTGTCATGGGTTTTGTCCATGGGTTTTTAGGTTGGGTGTTCAAGTTTGTGTACCCCTAATATATATATATATATAATTTCCCCTCATGATTGATTACTTACTATTTGGCTCATGTTGAATTGAGAGGTGATGATGTTCAAAAACTTTGATACAAACTTTATCAAAGTGCTTGAAGTAGACAAAGAAAATTGAAAGCAGGTAAACAAGAACAAAGTAAGAAATGATCTCAATAATGACCAGCACAAACCTTGTTCACCCCTTCTCAGGGCAAGATAAAAACCAAAATCTATCATGACATGTGCCACCAAAGTTTAGAGCCCTAAAATACTTTGTGCATCCCAATCAACATTGGGCAAGAAGAATAAGTGTCATATTCCATTCTTGATACTGCACACTGTCACCACAGGAGGAATATGAGGCAAACCTGTCCCTTTTCCCAGACCTGTGATGAAACAGAGATAGCGGACAAGATCATTATGCCAACTAAGACTCACCTTAGTATGAAACAATACGTTTATTAGGCAACACAAATTCAATGCTGAACTCAAATTTTCAAGAGGAGTTTAATAATGAGTAATGTGGAATTTTGAAGTTAAAAAATGAACAATATATTACACATTAGGGGGTTTCAAGTTGTGTTTTTTATGGTATCTTTACAATAGGGGGTTTCAAGTCAGGATATTTTTGTGAAAAGTTTTATGGAACAGACAAGTTTTCAAAATTTTACAGTGTTTGTTTTTTCTGCAAATATACGGTCAATAGCATTTGGGACACCTAAAAAGGTGTCCCAAATTTTTAAATTTTACGTGATATCTTATGGTCTTGGACAACTTGTTGTACTGTGAAATACCATAAAATTTCGACTTGAAACCCCCTAATACAACAACTTGCCTGTTGTTGTAAAGTTTACTGTAAATGTAGAAATTTGGGAGACCTAAAAATGGTCCCAAATGCTGTTGACCGTGATTTGCAGAAAAAAACACACTGTAGATTTTACATGCAAGCTTGTCTACTTTGTAAAAGTTTATGCAAAAATATCTTCAAGTTGAAACCCCCTACTGTCAATATATATGTTTAATTTGAATCAAAAAATGTGTTCTCAGATTCCGAACCTTGTATACAATCTTTCTAGATTCAAGGTCTTTTCTGGTGCATACCTTGAAGAGGAATCCCAGACATGATTTTTACAACGAGTTACATCCAACATTAATGCCATGGGTTCCTCAACTCAAGACATCATCTATCATGAAAGTGAAAAGTCAGACATGTTTCTTCAAGCTCATTGAGGCAGGTATTCCTTGAAGCATATAGTTATTGAATCATTCCCATATAACATGGAGCTTTGCCTCTTGAAGACCTCATTAAAGAATTTGATGAAGCAAATCATGGTCAGAATGTGAATTCTTCAAATTTTGTAACAAAAAGAGATACTTTCTACAGAATCAGGATTTTGATATTTACAAAAAAGAAATCTTAAGAAAAAGGTATTTTTTAAAGAAAACATCACCAAAAAGCAATGTGATTTACTTGAAGAGTCTGTGCTTCTTATCCAGTGTCTTCCTAATAGGTAACTGTGCTAGGTATGTGATGGCTAGCAAGGGCTCTACTGCTTTTAACTAGTGAATTTCCCCTGTTACACACTAGGAGGATCTCTTTTGGAGGCCTCTTGTGTGATCAGAGTAACTGAACAATGATTAGCTACCAGTAATTACAATACTAGGATAGTAATACATACAAAAACACATTTTGGAAGGTTTATTTTTGAATATGGTATTATATGTGGATTAGCAGTACACAAACCTTGACACCTGACCTAAGAACTCATGGACAAAACCCATGACAACCCAAATTAGCAGTACACAAACTTGAACACCCAACCTCAAAACTCATGGACAAAACCCATGACAACCCAATTGTTTTATGGGTTGTTGTGGGTTTTGTCCATGGGGTTTGAGGTCGGGTGTTAAGGTTTGTGTACCACTGTTGTTATTTTTAATTTCACCTAATCTGATTTTGATGATGAATGAGGATATAGATGCAATTTTCCCAGATCTTGGGTGTGGATACAATTCCAAGATGTTAAATCTGAATCTTAAACATACCATCAATCATCAGATCAGAAACCATGAATTTGGCTGATATGTGAGTACAAGGGAGATAATACAGACCTCTGGGTATATAGCCCTGACATGCCTCAACAAACCTGTACATTTTATTTCAATGCAAACTTTGAATATCTGATCTAAGTTGGGTGACATATTCTTTTGACACCTACACATGCTGGATCAGATCATCAAGCTATCTCACTTAGTCTTGGCACATGTAGTAGTACAGAAAAACCATTGAAAAAAAGAAATAGTGAATGGTATCAGATGACCTAGATTTCTTTGGTCAAAAACTTGGAGGGAAATTAAATTCAATCTCATGTGATTTGAGAAAATCAAGTTTGACTTTGAATCTTTTCAGATCAAACTCATCTCAATCATGACAAGGTTAAAAATATTGGGACTTTATTGGTACATATCTATTCACTTCATCTTACAATCACAATTCTTTTTCCCAGTATGCACAAATGTGAGTTCTGTTGCAGAGGATCTAGTAAAAGATGTACTCTCAAAACCAGAAGGTAAGTGTTGATTCCACTTTGATCTATATCATTCATTTTTGGGGTCCTTGTATGCCAATCACAAATTCCATTCCTTTTTTGTAGTCACAGAGGTTGACACAAAGGGATTGGTGGAGGATCATTCAACCTCAAGATCATGTTCTCCAGATGTATCCACTCATGAAAAGCCTCAACTTCTACCTCAAGAAGTAAGAAATATCTGGGATCAAAGTAAGTCCATCAAAAAATCTCCCATAGTATCCCATAACAGGATTTTCTAAAATATACATTACTTCCATATAGTATTTCAAAAGAGTTGGGGCTCAAATCAGTTTCCTGAATTATACAACACCTTTCTTGAGGTTCTACTTTCAAATCCTGAAGAATGGAGTGACAGAATGATTTATTTCTGTGAAACTTTGGAATTAGAAGGACCCAGAAGAGATATAAACAAGCAAATTGTAATCTTTCAAGTCCTAAATTTGATTGGGGAAGAATTTGATCTGGACATCAAGGCAGTACAAGCTATATTATCTCAGTTGACAAAGATGGAGTATATTGGGCTCTAGATTGAACCTCACATCAGTTCTGATCTTTGGATGAATGATCTGAAGATTGCAATCAAATCATACACTTGGAAGATGAAGGATTACATCAAAAGACTAAGTGAAGACAGGTGAGTGCACAAAACAGGCTTGATGACTATGAATCCTTTTCAAACACCTTCACTTCTATAGGGAGATACTTGAGTTTTCATCAATGGAAAAAAATCTGGGAAAGAATGGTTTAAAACTTTCAGGAGATTGGTCTCCAGGAAACCAAAAACAAATCTTCTTACTCTGGACATCCTGTGAGTTTGAATAGCAAACTTTGATGCACATACAGATCTGCTTATGGATGATCTTTGAAACTAGGTATGAACCTTTATACCCAGGCTGACAGTGAAAGGAAAAGAGTCATAGAAACCCAAGTTGTTTATATCAATCAACTACAGGAAGCTTCAAAATTCCCTGGAAATAAATTGTACATTGGAATGGAATATATGCATTGGGCTCACAGGAAATTGAAAGAATATAAAGAAACCATGATTGATTACATCAAGTCCTTGAAGGTTGAAGGGTATGTTTTCAGACATATTTTTCAAAGAAATACATGGTCCTAGATGTGGGTCTGAGTATAAAACTAAACTATAGACAGGTCAATGAATATGCTTCATTTCAATCAAACCTCAAGAGATATGGGATCAATATACTAAATCACTGGGGTGAAAAGGAGAAAATGAAGTTACTCATATTTTGGTCAAATTGTATGTGCCCTGATAGATTCTCCTTCTAACTGAACTTGAAGATGATCTGATTGAACTGAGACTGAGTACACTATAGATATGCCAATGTATCTAGAATTATCAAAGGACATGAATATGTTTCAATTTCAACTTATGATGGAAGAGCTAATAACTCAAAACTTTGAAGAGACAAGCCTTATCATGAATCAGTTTCTTGATCAATTGGAAGGCTCTAATCAATTTAAAGGCAGCAGCTCTTTTTTCCCTTTCATCAAATACTTCTCTGAAAATACTGGGTCACCAAAATTCAAGCTCAAAAGCATTGATATCTTGAATGTATTTGAGGAAAGAACTGCAAGACTATTAGATCACCAATTATAGAGTTGTTTTGGCTGGATTTTAACTTTGATTTAATCATGTACCATTTTGCACGTCGGTACAGGATTGTATTGAAATTTTTGGGCGCCAATCCAAGATAACAATGGATGCTACTTACAACTCAAATATCACTATCAAGAGATTTCTTTGAGCTCAAGTAAAATGATGTTTTGCAATCCACTTTGGTTCTAGATAGCTCTTGTGCCCTCATGTGCCAAATCTGATGTTGTTCCTACACAGGAACTTCCATGCAGCACATTGTTTTGGAAAGAAAAGTAAGTTGGGGGTTTTAAAGGTGGCAAAATGGTTTAACTTTAACGATGTGAAAATAAAATTGAAAGATGACACTTGGAAGCAAATGCTACAAAAGGTTGCTTTTCAAACCCACACATGAGTAAATTGAATTCATGAGCCTTGAAGAAGATGCTCTTATAGTTTTCTTTTGAAAAGCAGATCATACTTCTGTATCTTGATTCTCAATGACCAGAGAAAAAATGACACCAATAAACAGGTTTAAGGCCACTTGGGACGTCCTCTTCAAATTTTCATCAGGAAAGGTCTTTTGAGTGACAAATTTATTCTGTTGGTGCTTTTGGATGACATTGAGTTTTCAAAAAAGCTGCTCTCTGTCCAAGAATCTATCACTCCCTTGATTGCTGCTTTCATGAAGGGATCTCCTTTTTCTCCTTTTTTTATTCTATTTGCCCTTTGCTACTTAGGTGTGCTGTAAATGGAAAATGTGGGTACCCCACTTCCTCAATGCTGCACTGCCAGCAAAAATACTATATTTCTTCATAACCAAACCAAACCAAACTTAAAACAAGAAACTTCTTAAACCTAATGTAAGAAAGAAATTAATGGCTTTTGATTTCCTTTGTAGTAAAGATCATAATCAGAAATCCTTTTACAGATATTCTTTCTTTGGTTCTTATCTATTCATATATCTAATTTCAAAAATGACCAAACCAATCAATCTAGAAAAGAAAATCACAAAAAAAAACATAACAGTTGTAACAAATGCATCCATTATAAAACTTCATTTTTGCTTTTTCTTTTGTAGTTGAAAAAAAAACCCAACAATAAAAGAATCATGTTCGGTCCTTTACTTAACTTCAACTCTTATACTTATGGGTTTTTTTACTCTTTTTCATCATTTCAATTTAGTTTCTTTTTTTTCTTAAATTTGTTCATAAACATAAACCTTTTTTTAGAAAAAAAAATCAAAAGACATCTCTTTTTTTGCAAAACAAAGAAAATCCCATCATCCCAATCCAACCCATCCCCATCCCATCCTTTTTTTTATCTTTCATCATCATCATCATCATCACTCAATCATTTCACCAACAGCGCTATCAATTCCACTTCCTTCCTATAATACCGCATCCAAAAAGAAAAAAGATATATAAATCAACAAAAAAATGTCCAATCGACTTTTTTGAGCAAAAAACGAAAAAAAAACACTCAACTCGAATTGCACTTTCCCAATATCCATAAATAATCGTCACAGCCAAAAGAATCCCAGTACCCGACCCAAGTGCACCCATCAAATCAGCACAAACCGATAAAGCACCAATCGTAGCACCACCAAAAGCCGCAGCCGTAGGAATGATCCTTTTTAATTCTTTATACATTGATCCTTCTCGATGACCGGCCATGACCATCTGTTGATCTTTCAATTGTTTAGCCACTTCTCTTGGACCCGAACCAGAAACTTCGATCCAAGTCTTCGAAAACAACGCACAAGCCGTCAACATAAACGAAACATAAATCAACGTATGAATCGGATCTGTAAAGACTGCCTTGAGGTTATGAGGTGGTGAAATATAATAAGCTAATCCTGATTTAGCAAACAATTGAGATGATTCTTCTAAAGGTTCCCATACACCTAAGAGCCGTACAAACAGATTACTTGGGAATCGATTAAAGAGCATTTGTGAGATTATAAACACATTCGAGGTAAGTGCTGATTCTAACATGATCGGCATATTCGATGTATAAAACAATTTGACCGGATAAGTTCCACGTTGACCTCTGAATCGATTCGATTTCACTGGGATCTCCACTCTAAAGCCTTGTAAATAGATCACTGCAGCAAAGACCACAAAGGTAGCAATCAAATTCATCACGTTTGGTAATCGGTCTCGATAAAAGGCTTCCTTTAAGGCTCGAGTCTTATCATTCCAGGTAAACAACAAATGAAATAACGCAATCAACGCTCCTTCAAATTCAGGACCTCTTCCTGTGTTGATCGTCGTTGGTGAAAAGGCTTTCCAGATAATCGATTCACAGATGTTCGTGGCTATAAAGAGTGAGATTCCAGATCCTAGTCCATATCCTTTTTGTAATAATTCATCTAATAAGATCACAATCAAACCGGCTACGACTAATTGTAAGATCAACAGTAAACAAACACCGGCTCCCAAGTCTTTAGGTTGTCCATATAAACCTGTCAAAACGTAAACGGTTGCTTGACCAAACGAAATCAAAAGAGCAAAGACTATAGACCGGATCAAAATCCAAAAAAAATCAGAAAGTTTAATAAAACGGAGAGAGAAGAGATCAGAAAGACTAGAGAGGTCAAAAAAGACTTACGTTTCTGAGCCCCACCAAACAAAGCACGATCTTCTTTCAAAGTGAAATCGACTTCTACCAACTGAGCACCGGCCAAGAGTTGCATAATCATACCAGAGGTGACGATAGGTGAGATACCTAATTCCATCAAAGTACCACGATTGGAAGCTAAGATGACTCTCATCCAGTACAAGGGATCAGAAGAATCGGATGAAACGATGCCGTATAAAGGAATTTGAGAACAGATTAAAAAGATTAATAAGGTGATGGCTGTCCAGAGTACTTTTTGATTGAATGGAATCTATTGAGAAAGGTAAGATGAAATGGTCAATATATATAGGTTTTTGAGTGAATAGAAGATGAAGAATACCTTTCTTTCTGGTGAAGCTACTTCTGGTAAGACTCCCATAAAGGGTCGAACGCTATTTGAGATTCAAAGATATATCGTAAGAAAGAATGAAACATTAAATCATGAAGGAAGGAATTAAAGAAAACAGAACTCAACAGATTGAGAAAGCGAACTATGAAGAAAGAAAGAAAGAAGAAAAGAAACCAGAGTTAGTGAATGGCTTGATGGATAGAATGAATCAGAATGAGATTTTACTAACAGCTACTCATCTCGAGATTGGTTGATTGGTTGATTGATTGATTGAGATTGCTGAGCTGGAATGGTTTGTTGAGGTGAGTGAGTGATGAAGGAAGAACCGATCAGAAGAAACTTTAACCAACTGACACGACACCGATCACTCACTATAAACATATCCAAAATAGCCTTATACTCTGATCACCTTCAACATTGACCACCACCACTGACCACCACCACCATCATCATCATCATCATCATCACAAGAAGAAGATGAGTCTCTTAAGACCATTCACTGCATCAGATCTATGTAAGCTACTTCATCATCATCAAAACCAATCATCATCACTAACCCACTTCCCATTCCAATCAAAAGTCAACTTCAACAATGTCAATGTAAATCAAATCAAATCATCAAATCCAAATCCAAAAAAACTAACATCATGATCCTATACTTCTCAAACCATGTCAAAAGTTAGACCCATGGACAGTAAGTCAAACCCAATCTCCATTCATCAAAACCTCCTTGAAAACCGCTAATCATAATCAAACTTTGATTCTTTTATATATAGGAAACTTATTCAGTTTCATATTATCTTCAATACTTAACTTATTGGCCTTCTTTAATATGTCTAACTGAATCTCCAAACCATTCAATAATGGGTTACGGTTCGTAGAATTTTCAACCTTATCAACCCATTCCAACACTTTTGACTAAAGATCTGTATTTCTTTAGTGATGGCTAAAACCGAAGGAGATCCAACAGATTGGCAGTTAAGCATTTACCTCCCCCTTCCCGCGCACAAACCCCTCCAAAGAACAAAAAAAAGCTGATAAGATTTCATTTTTTTAGTGGACATATAAGCGCTATTACCGTTTCACCATCTTATCGTCAATTATCATTAGCTAAACAAATGATGAACTTGATTGAAAAAGTTTCAAATCTATCTAACAGTTTCTTTGTAGATCTTTTTGTAAGAGTTTCTAATTCGATTGCTATTAAGTTTTATGAAGCTTTGGGCTATAGTGTTTATAGAAGGATTTTAGGGTATTATGATGGGTTTGGTCAGATTGATCAGGAAGATGCTTTTGGTTCGTTTTTAGGTCTTGTTTTCTCCTTTTTACTTATACTCGTTTTTTGAGAGGTTGATTGATTCTGGGTTTTTTTTGCTTTTTTTTGGGCGGGGGCGAGGGTAGATATGAGGAAAAGTTTGGATGCTGATCCCAAGGGGTTATGTGTTAGATCAAATGGTAGAGAAGTCTTAGTAACCGATTTATTTTAATCCAAAGAAACAAAACAAATGATGATCTCAATTCAATAAACCCATCAACCTTTGTTTTCATTCTATCAAATACAAAGAACCAATCAAAAATATAAACCAAAAAAGAAGAAAGAAAGAAACCGCGTGTGTGCTTTTCGGTTCAAGTGATCGGGTTGTTTATTGAAAATAAATCATAATTAAATAAACCAAAAATAAACCAATTCCTAATTTAAGATGAGAAGAGAATCGGTTCAAGAAATTCAAATTAGATTCAAGCTTAGGTTGAAAGTTTGAAGTCGGTTTAACATTCGTAGAGGTTCCTAATGTGTTGCCTTTTCCCCAGTTATGTGAATTACTTGAATCATTTGAATATCGTTTGATAGTAGCTTCAATCCTACATTCAAAAAAATCAATCAGGTTCAGTATAGAATTTCGGTTTCGATTTCGAGGGAGTTAGTTACCCTGATCGATTGGCTCCCCGAACTTCGTCTACTTTTTGCTTATTTTTAATAAATATAAACGTTGGCATTGCAGTCTACATATAAAACCCCCAACCCCCAAACAAATAAGAATAGATTGGTTAATGTGTTTTTTTTTTTTTTTTGGAGATGGGTTTGGGTTGGTGGAGTTTGAAATGGAGCTTACGATCTTGTAGGTTTCTGAAATCGATTTACATTCGTCTACATCACATTTTGTAAAAGTTAAAGATGAATGAGTTTTAGATAGATCTTCGTAAAAGGGTGCCTATATAAATCACCAAAAAATCAAATCATGAAAGGTTTAGTTGGTTTGTGGTTATTTACAAATGAATATATATAAAAAAGGGAAAGAATTAGTTACGATTGCGTGACATGGTGGACACCATCTGAATCAAAATCCACCAATCCCAAACGAAAAAACAGAAAGTCAATCAATTGGTTTCTTTAAAAATGATAATACGTAACATGTTTGAAAGAAGGAGGGAAAGGGTGGTTACTTTGCATGAAAATCTATGATGATTAATTGGGTGGTTGAATTGATGATTTGGTTTAATTGATTTAATGATTTTAATTCGATTATATTCGATTTAAGTGTTGATGGTGACATTCTTTTCTGGTGATGATCGAGTTTGATGGGAGTTTGGTATTCTGTGAACGTTGGATGTTGGGCTTGAGCTTGAAGTGAGCTGAAGGTTGAAGGTTGAAGGTCAAGGAAGGGGACAGTTTCAGATTCAAGTAGATGATGATAGGATAGGAACCTGTTAAAACACATACACACCACCAGCACACCTTAAATTGAACTTTTCACATCATCACTGCTACACTTCAATGAAGGATCAAACAAATCCTATTTCATTTTGATTCTTTATCTCATCTTTATAAACAACCAAACTTGATGTAGAATTTGAAAAACTCTTGAATAAAACAAAAAAATAACAAGCAAATATTTTAGATCTATACCTTTCATTTTGATAACCAAAGGAATCAGCTTGTAACAAGAAAAAAAAAGGAATGGAAGATCCAAAAGTCAAGAATAAAACATAAATCAACACATCATGAGTAAGAGATGTGTGTACAAAAATAAGAAAAAGTTTAAGAGGAAGACAAAGGTGGTGTTGTGAGATGACAAAGAACAGAGGTTTTGAAAGATGGTCAGGTGGATGTGATTGTGATGGCATTGGTATGGTAGAAAATCATATGATCAATGGAAGACAGGCAATTAAATAAGTTAAATGATCTTGTTCTTGTTTTATCAGAGTAAAGCTAGATTTATATTGAAAGAATAAAAGATAGATGTACTGCAGCTACTTCATGAGACATAAGAGGAAGTAGTGGTTGTAGATATAGAGAATAAAATTTACTGGAATCAAAATTAATACATTTCACTATATAGTACCTTCACTTGTTCATCAAATCAGAATGTACAAAGTAGTTCTCTTCATACTTTCACATAAGCCATGACTCAAAATCACTGGTTTCTAAGATATAGGTATCCATTCAAATGTTTCTTTGGTTTTGTTAAAAAAAGATAAAGATCAATACCAAGACATCTGAATTTCTTAAGCAGGATGAGTGATATACATTACAAAAAATTGGTTAAGTAGAAAGAATGGAGAAAAATAATTCACATCAATTTACAAAAGGTTAAATACTCTTGCTTAGCACAAGATATTCGCAAGGAGAATATGAAGAGATAGTGATTTTTATGTAGGAAAGGAGACAACCATTGAAATTCCAACTCAATAGGTGTTTTTTCATGATCAGGTGAGATGAACCTCTTGACCTCTTCCAACATACAGACCACCAAAGAAGTGACTCATTTCACCTGAGCTTCCCTCAAAGAAATGTATGCAGGAATTTTCTGGCACAAATCTCTGGCTTGGATGATTTTAAACAACTGGCTGATTATAGCAGAGGAATCATTGGCGATATAGACATCTGATACAACCAGACGCTCTCCGCCCTTTGAGGAATACCGCTTCATTGAGCGGAACACAGTATTTTTTGACTGGATACCACAGGAGCAGATGTGATAGGAGAGCACACTATTTATGATGTGTAGCTAAACTTGAAGAACAGCTTCTACAAGTGAAAAGTGTGATATCATATATTCCAATAAAGACAACAAGATCCACATATGTCATTGTCAGTGTACAATTGCCTTATCACAGATAAAGCTATTGATCTGACATGCTTTTTCAAACTTAACAAAATACCTAGATTCATATCACTTGAATCTGATACAGAGGGATTTGAGGCAAAGAAGCTTATCAAGACCAACAAGCTGAGTCTTGAGGTAAATTTTTCTTTAGCCATAAAAGATAACTTTGAAACAAGCAATAAGTTTTTTTTACAAAGTGAAGACTTGATAAAAAGTAAAGTACAGATAACCTTTTACCATTTGAACAAATTTTAATTCTTTCCAAAAATTTTACAACCATCTTAATGATTTCTTGTAATGTTTCTCATGATAATATCTAAGGAATTCAAAGCATAGTTTTCAAATTTGTTTATATATGTGATTTGGGATATCAGAAAAGATTTTTGTGATTCAAGGATACCAAAATTTGCAGGAAGGAATGATGCCTTTTCAATTTTTTTTGGGCTCTCTATCATGTATTTTGAGATGGTATAGGATCATATATCATGTGATCCTTCCATGAGCTTATGGTAGAAGTCAGATATCTTGTCTATATCTGATAGTCTCAACCTGACTTTTATGTCAGTATTGTTAGCACTCTTTTCAGTCTTTCACCTGTGCTAGAAATCTATGGTGATAAGTCATCTATAATGGTCTTATACAACACTCCATTTGTGATCTATTACAAAAATTCATCAAATCTTGGTCATCTAAAATTAAGGACATTCAAAGGTCTAAAGAGTTACACCTTGTAGGTCTTTTTCCACAAAGGCTTTCTAAGTGAAAGACAATAAACAGAGTTTTTTTTACAAAATTGAGTTATAAGTTTCTTATATGTAGTCAATCATCCAGCCACCGATTTAAAAGCAACAGTAGAAGTAACGATCCGATCAATAATTTCATACAAATCATCTTCTTGACTTATACCATTCTTTAAATTTTTCTGATATTCTTTAATCACTAAATCTTCATTAAGTTTATAAACCTTACAAACTTCATTCCAATCTGTACCTAATGATTTGATTTGATTGATAGAAATTAATGAACCTTGAATCAATTCAAGAGCTAATTGATTTAGTTTGATGGATTCTTCTGATTTCTTTTCTTCTTCTGATTTCTTGGTGATTTTAATTAGGATTAATTTATCGGATTTAGGATCTATACCGAACTTTTTGATCGAATCTGTGATCTGAAAGTTTATGAATCATTGAACCAGATTCGATTTTCATAAGTGTCAAAATTGAAGACTGGATCTATCTATATAGGTATGGGTTTTAAAAGACTTACATTTGTACCAGGAGAGAGAGTCCACATGATCTCGGAATATATTGTTTTGGTCTTAAGTTGATGATGAGATCGTGCTAATAAAGCTTGATAGATAGCGGTGTTTAAATGTTGAGAGGATGTGATCTGTAAACATCGATCATCCCTTTTTCATCCGGGTTTGTGTAAAAAAAACACGCATTCAAACCCCAGGCGTTGTCGTTTAAGATTATCGAAGTGAAGTTATGAAAGAAGGGATATAGTCAAAATGAAAAACACGGTATAAAGTGTTCAAAAAGATATCAAAACATTTCAATCAGTCTGTTAAATCATGTTAAAACCGATTTCATGTAAAAAGTATTGACCATCTTTGGATTTAAGAAACACCAATCTAATCGATTACGCTCATGAATTGTATTAGGGTCAGATTCATTTAACTTGCTTGCTTCTATTAATGATGATCTAATTTGAGTTAAATTCGTAACTTTGTTAAAGAACCAAATGTAAACAGACGTATTAAGGTGAGGTATATCGAAGTGTTCCATTGGGGTTTTTTTGAGTTGATTGACCAATTCTTATCGGTTGCCTTTAAAAAGGTTTGTAAGACGTTTTAGAGATTCGATTGCAGGCTCAGCAGAGCGATAAGATGTTTACGATGAAATGAATCCTGATCGGCACCTTGCAATCTTCCCGAATGAGACTAAAACTTATCCAACTTCCCCGCCGACCCGAGCCAGTCGGAGTCTAACTTTAGAGCATATGTACCGAGGCTCACCCAATCGTGTCATCATCACCATCATGATGTCCCCAAACTCTTTTTCCTGTGGAAGCAGATTGAGTGGGTCATAGTTTGCCCAGTAGGAGTTTTTGTAACCAGAGCTTCAATGTCTTCACGTATCTTGACTTTTGGGCCACCCTTTCCTCATAAAGTGAATTAATAAAGATTCATGTTTCGCGTTTCAATGTGAATTTTGCAGGTTGCTGCACTCGCCGCTAGAGCAATATGCTCCTTATAATTTGGACCCCACCAGCCATTGCCATACCTTGTCGTCAGTCAAAAGTCAATCAAAAGTGTGCTTTACTGATATTTTTTGTCTTCCTTTTAGAACGCACCGTTGTCAATTGTCACGATGAAGACTTGAATCTTATCATAGTCTCATTGACGAAATCTGAAATTCCTCATACATATATCCTTTTGAATCCACAAGAATCAACGGTCACAAATTGATCATCTTTCGTTCAACTAATTGTCACAGAACTTGACCAAAATTCCTCACCAAGATGCTTGACTGCCGCGGGTAAACTTGACCAAGATTATTCAAGTTGATGTTGGATCAATTAAACTTGAGTTATTTGATGATGTCTTTCAAAGTCAGAACACACTGGTCTTGAAATCATGGCAAATCCTATCAAACTTTTAATGTGTGTATGTTGAGATCAAGGAGTTGATGAAGCAATATGATGATGGAAATCTAATCAGTTTAACTAAAACTAGCTACTTCCAATAAGATACCCAAAAATCGAACTCGGTGGTAAGCTTCAAGTTTTCACGAGGTATGTATGCGTTTTCACAAACAAACAAGATTGACCAAGAGACTTATTTTGTGTCTTTTAGCATGGTGTATATCAAGTTCATAACCTCAAATGAATTCCTAAACTAACTGCATTGATTCGTATTTACGTTTCCTGTTAAGCTTCTGATTTGATTATCGTTTTTGTTGAGCCACCTTCATCTGTGTTTTGTATATACTGTGTTTCTGTCATATATGAGATTCAGAATGACGGGTATATGAAGCGAGAAAGATGCATAGGAGAAAATCACACCTTGTATCACCAAGGATGAATAGCAATAGCAAATTTATTTGTTCAACTGGAAGGCAGCACAAGTTCTACATTTCCTTCAATCAAAATCTCTATCTCCGGACGTTTGTTTACATCTTTATCCTTCGTATATACTACTTTTGATTAAGAAGCTTTTATTTGGGATACATCAAACTCCATTGATGAATGTTATTCTTCACCAAGCTTTTGTTTATCTTCTTTGGCTTCCACAGTCTTTGTCCATATCTCGTGGTATGGATGATGAGAAGCATATACCAAGATGATAAAGTTGTGAAAGAATTGAACAGCATGACTGACTACAACCACCTTCCTCAAGATCTTCAACTTTGGCGAAGACAAGCCGATACTTCTACGTCGACCTTGATATTGACACTTACATTAACAGCACTAGTAACACAATCTGATTTGAGGACTCAGACAATCATCTTTACTTCTGTGATCACAGAGATTGAAACCATCACCAATAATAATCAAATCAAGACCTCAACAGCTGTTCAAGCAATACCAACCTTGGCAGATTCCGATGCGACCAACTCCCGAGCAACTAGCCTCACAAGCGAGATTCTTTCTCCAACCGCATCTTCCAGTCCAGCGCGCTTGCCCGTGAGCTCAGCATCAAGTGTGATCCAGAGGACGCAAAGTGCGACTGCGACTTTTGCTGGGATCCCTACGCCGACTAACATCCCGGCCACTTCGACCTCATTGCCCATTGACAGTAGTAAGCTAGTTCCCTGCTAAGAACCTTATAATGACTTAGCTCAAATTGATCTTCAAATGCGTTCTTTTCTCTAGTTTCGAGTCAAACTTTGAGTTCTAATTTCAATACCATCGCACCATCACTTCAAAGCTCACCACCAATAACAAAATCAACTTCAAACAATAATCAAAATAAAATAGCCATTCCAGCCATAGTGATTTCAGTCACCTTAGCCATAGCATTCATGATAATTTGTATTTCTTACTTTGTTCCAAGATTTCGAAACCAACAAAAAACCAAACAATCTGCTCAAATGTTTGATGAATATAGTAAATTAGCTAAAACGTTTAATTCAAGTCCAAGTCATACTACATTAGATTATAGTCAAGCTTATATTCCTAAAAACTCGATTCAAAGAAATAAAGGTAAATCAAGAATGATTGAAAATTTAGATCAACCCTCTTTTGGTGTTGGTGATGGCGGATTCAAGCATGTAGAACCTGTTGAGGGTCATGGTACTTGGTCACCTCAGAGTCCAGATGGAACCGAGCCATCAGGACCGATTGTGTAAGTTTTTCTTATAAATCACTTTTTTCCGATTTTGATGCTACTTAATTGATGCGTTGATTCTCTGAATTATTTGATCATATGATCACTAGATTATGATGTTACGCCTTTGAAATCATCAAATTACAAGACATATCAGCAGAAGGTTGTAAGATTTTGTCAAAATCAATTAGATTTATCAACTAATGTTCGGAAATGCTTAAATCCCGTTCTTGATGTTTCTCTAGATCTTGTGAAATTAGCCTATGGCAGATATTTTTATTTGAATCAAACTTTAGTCCCGAATGACCATGACTTGTTTTTGCATCAATTTATAGACCACTAAATCTTTTCGTTTTGCTGTTTCTCGACATTTAGATTTCTTTCAAAACTTTGTTGAACTTTCAAGAGTTTCATTTCACTATTAAAATCTTGGGTGTATGCTCTAGTGCTTCAATTTAAATGATCCGGTGCAAAGAGAGTCAATTCGCAGACTTTGAGGGGTTTCTTAGCTCAGGTTTCAGTCATTCGAGCCGACAATTTCACCCGATTCAACATCTTGACTTCTTGACTTGATTGTCTGTATACATAGTGAATCAGGATAAATCGAGTAACATCTTTTGAAGATACACAAACGAATGAAAACTCAAGTTGATAATTTCAATGGAGGAGAATCAGATGGAATTGAGAAAATTGATGCAGAACATCTTGATTTGAATTTTTTCATACTTTGTTGTCGGATCAAACTTTCAACTTCCATACAAACAATCAAATCAAATTCGTCATCAATCATTCTTCATAAAAGATCTTTAAAGGTGAAGGAACATCGTTCTAGCTTACCATTCAATTCGTCATATATCATCTTAAGCTTTAACCTCTCATTATACAATTCTGATTCAATGGCTCTTTTCCTTTGAGATTTTTCGAGAGTTTCATTCGGACCTTTTTCGCTAGTATCGAGAGATGGCCTTTCAATGGAATCCGATTTAACTTTCAAAGATCTTTCAAGTATGTCAATACATGACCTGATCACACTTTCTCGGTTAAGCCATGTTTCTATATCAATGAAACAAATGTGTCAGTTTTGTAAGAAAATCTAGAATCAAAGATGAAATACTACTCACGAGTTAGAATTCCCCAAAACTGGGAGCACTCTATAGTGGCTTCCTTTGCTTGATTCGAGTTTGTGTTTGATTGTGTTGGGATTGAGATTCGATTGAGATGAAGTGTAAGTGAGTCATCCAATTTTCGATATCGACCAATATATTCTGATTAGATTTGAAGGCGTTTGAACAGTGTGTTTGAGAAAATGCATTTCGATCTACATCTTCGCTTGATAGTAGACCAGGACTAACTTCGAAACTCTGAAAGATCCCCACAAATGGCTAAGGAAACTGGAATTGGACTTTTAGGTTCTGAATCATTTGTTGGAATTGATGCCGCAAGTTGAGATTCTAGCCATTGAGATCCTAGTAAGACTTTCGTTGAATTCGAACTCATTGAGCCTTGGTTACCATCAGGCATTTCCTTTGACGATAGCTTCGAAGCGATGTGTCTAAATCTGAAGACCTGCTCATCTGATCTCCCCGAATGCTCACTAAAGTGGTGGGTACTCGGTACCGGGAGTGATATGGCGCAAATGTTACTTTCTGGGCATCTTTATTGAGGTGAAAGTTCAGATCATCAAGAATGATAATGATGCAGAATGCAAGCAAAGAAGGTACTTTCCTATTCTTGCGATGCACCTTTCTTGAATTCAGCTTGGTCTCCTAAATTTTTAGACATTCATCCACAGCCAAGGATATATACATTTTGACGCTTTGAAAGAAGTTTAGAACACGCGATGTAGTCTGATGGAGTACACTGGAGCACAAGATAAGAATTGAACAAATTGGCTGATAGGATGCTGATTTCTGAGTTTGCTTTTGGATTGGAGGTAAGGAGATTTAATTCAGCCGATGTACCATAGCCTATCATAGCATTTTGGCGGGCAGCGCTCAGTGTGAGCGGCCGATAGGGTAATCCGATCAACTCAGCAATCGGACAAGATCAAATGCTCACATACATAACAACTATCCAGCCTAGAAAGCCACTCAAGCCTCTAGAGTATGTTTTTGATCAAGTCGGCTGTGAAGTCGTACACCGGTCTGCGTCTAACCTCGTGGAGGCTTTCCATGAGGATTCTTGATTTCGGTGTGATTTCGTTCAATTCAAACTACGCGTGACGCCGGCTGAATCTGCTGAATCTGGTTGAAGCCAGAGTTGTGTTTATTAGGGTTCCGATACACGAAAGTCTTGGACAGAAGAGGCAGAAGTAGATGTCCACCGTCCACGACCTAGTGGGGCGTGGTTGGTGGCGTGGTTAGACTTGGCATTCAGGAAGCTGGAGAACACAGGTTGTATTTAGCTTTCAGTTCCATAAATACCCCCTCATCCCGGCCATGCTTCCAAAGGTTCATCACCCGCCAGACACACTTCACTACATCTTACACCAAATTTCATCCTAGCTATCTATATAAGATTTGATCATGCTTTTCTCAACTTCCCTCATCCTACCATTAGCGCTTCTATGTGCGTACCAGTTTTTCAATCAACGAAAGAAGTTTATATCAGACAGTGAAACTTGTCTCCTGACGTGCTTCTCCTTTCTTATCTCCCATAGGCCAGACTGCTTCTTCTTTGAGTGTACCCTCAGTATCGGGAGGTCTAAGGTGAGTCCAAAACGTTCAAGACCGAATTTACTCGTTTTTTTTTCTATTCCTTTGTTTTCTGACGACTACGTTAAATACTCAGCTTGGCCCGAAGAAATCAACAAGACGCCAAAGCCATCTCTCAACCTTGTATCGATAAAATCCAAAAGAAACAAGCCGAGGTTAAAGAACATTGTAAAGATGCACAAGCTCAGGTACTTGTTGAGACTGACTTACAAGTTGTTGTTCAAACTTTTGAAGAATTCATCGTGGAGATGAACAAATGCAACTGTACCGGTAAAGATGAAATCGACCTCGTACGTTTCATAGTCTTTATGAATATGAATAGCTTCATCTCTCTTCTGATAAAAGTTTCGGATTTTATAGGAGTGGTACAAGGAACTTGTTATCAACGTCTTTGCTTCTGTTCAAGTTGTCATCGAGATCGTTGTAGGAACTCAAGACCAAAGTCTCATTGAAGTTGCTCAAGGTAAGTAGAGTATTCTGAAGTATCTGTTAAACAAGTCTAATGATCATTCCGTCATCCTTCAGACGTATTTGCTCAATTCAAGGTTCACGTTGCCAACTTTATCGACCTCGTGATCACGATCGATGTTCAAGTAGCCGTTGCCATTCGTGATAATGTTGATGCAGCTGCATATGCCGCTGTTGGAGTTGACATCGTCGAGCTCATTGACGGAAAGGTTGCTGGAGAAACATCTGGAAAAGAACCTGAGAAACAAGCCCCTGTGAAGAAGGGAGATGGTGATCACACTGGTCATCCTTAAAACTATTTATATCTTTGTATTTCTTTCTTGAATCATGATATTTATATAATCAATCAATTTTTTCAAAGCATTATTTTGTTAAATTCGAGTTGTACTCATTCGAGCTTACTTGGAGATGTGAGGGAGCTTTGCATAAAAAGACATTGTCCATTTATTTTGTTCCAAAAACTCCTTTCTAGGGAGTTTGAAAATTGATGAAGAATCAAATGAAGTGGCCATTGTGAGGGATTGAATTTCTAGTAATCGGATCGTATTATCGAAAGGTAAATACTCTGAAGAAAGTGGACATTGTCAATGAAACATTGATGAAGTGGCACCCATTGAGCTTTGGTTGTCTTAGGTGATTTCCTTTTATAATCATTGAGACCAATTTCGAGTTGCGCTTTAGATTCTATGCCACACATCACCTTCACACCTCTCTGGAACCTCATTTTGTGAAAGTAGCAGAGCATGCTCGCTAACGGTGGTGATTGCGGATAAATATAAGCTCAACTAAGCCCCTCCCGCGGCCCATGGAGTCTTTGTCTCTCTTTTTTCTCCAGGACGAAGAGAGTCCAAAATTGGTTTCGAAAGCTTGATAGAAGTTTAAACAATCAAGAGGGTTCTGTAGTTCTCCTCCAATTCGTACACCATAAAATGCCTAAGCACTACGAATCAAATGGGTTACCAACTGGGAGAGATCTCTTGTCAAGTAAACTGGTGGCGAGGAGCTGCAACTCCAAGGCCATGAAGTAAGTAGTAAAAGTAGACAAAGTTTTGTATCCTTATGCACTAGTACTCATGATAAGATCACGAGATATTTCACAAGGGCATGATAGCAAACATCAATGATGAAGTAGATAAGAGTAGTCCGTCACAAACTCTACTGACCTCACTGAAATCAGCAATCTGATTAGCTTGTCGGCGGAGAGAGCTTTTTTAAGCCAATCTGATTCAATGCTGTTGGACACGGTCAGCAGGCCGAGTATGTCTTGACAGGTCTGTTTGTTATGAAAGGACCAAAATAAGAAACAATTGCATTAGCTCGGCTCAGCTTCTTTAGCTCAATCTATTCCTCAGGTCAGCTTATGTCCAATGTGGATGATCCAAGAGTACGAGGCTAAACACAATTGTAATTCAGATTCGACTCTCTGCAGAGACTTTTTGCAAGTGGCAATTCTCTCTAATTCAATACACCCCTTTTCTTAAACTTGATAAAGTTCCAAGAAAAAGGAAACAGTCTTGTATATTTGTAACGCTTGGAACGCTTGTGAAATTTCCGTGAAGAAAAACTGGATAAATGAAAGCAGGGAATGCGCCTGGAGGCGTTCCTTTCAAAATACTCAAAACTATGTTTGTCTCAGCTCTCCCGGTCGCCACCGGTCGTCTCCGCTGAAGACCGATACCTCTCCTCGCCGAACCTCATGGCCTCATAGAAGCTTTGGAGTATGAAACCACATTTCTGCTATCGACATAAGTCATGCGTGGCGCGGCTCAATGGTCTCAAGCTTCTGCGCCGTTCAATGTAGTAATCATCCGAGTTCGCCTTAAACAGAAGTAGTGCCTCGTGGCTCATCGGACGCGTGGTTAGCCTTGGCAATCAGGAAGCCGGCGAACCAAGGTATGTATGTATGCACCAGCTCTTCCGTCTATAAAACCCCCTCACCATAACATTTCCATAGTTTCATCATTCGTCTCCTACACATTTACACTCATTACAGCCTACGAACTATTCATCAATCTTTTTATTTTATTCATATTCATTTTATATTATTCATCTTAACATATCATCATGCTCTTCTCAACTTCCATCATCCTGCCAATAGCACTTTTGTGTTCGTACCAATTTTCAATTGTTCAATCAAAGAAGCGGTAA